GTTGAAGGCCAAAACATCTGGGGATCTACAGGTTTAGAAGCACTGATGTAAGAAATCTTATATCAGCTTCAGCCATTGTGCCTTGGGGAAATCCTCCTTATCATCCTATGGATTCTCTTGTGCCTAACACAGTTGTCTCCTTGCGCAAGAGTCCTGTGCCACTATAAAGACTCAGATGCATTGTAGCAAAAGTTTATTATCCGTTCTGATGAACTGGATCTAGCCACAAACATCTTACACAATGCACTTGTTAGTCTTAGAAATTCCACAAGTCTGTTTGTTATTTTTGGTATGGCAGATTATAATGCCTGTCATGTAGAACTACAGCTGAAGCTTCAGAAGGTCCACCTTGACAGATTTTTCTGCATAAGGTAAAGGTAAAGGTTTTCCCTTGACTTTAAGTCTAGTCGAGTCTGACTCTGGGGTGGTGGGGTGGTGGTACTCATCTCCACTTCTAAGCCAAAGCTGTAGATGCCTCCTAGGTCATGTGGACTGCATGGAGTGCTGTTACCTTCCCACCAAAGCGGTACCTATTGATCTCACATTTGCATGTTTTACAATTGCTAGGTTGGCAGAAGTGAAGCTAACAACGGGAGCTCACCTCATCCTGTGGATTTGAACTGCCAACCTTCCAGTCAGCAAGTTCTGTAGCTTAGCAGTTTCACCCGCTGCACCACTGCTGCATAAGACAAAGGAGCAAATAGTTTCTGTATTTTCTGAAATCAAGGCACATTGCACCAAACGTTATTTTTCTCTCTCCTTTATGAGACACAACATCTCATAAGCACTCTCTCTCCTCCATCCCTGGCAATAAGAACTGAACAGTTTCTTGCCTTTCCAGGGCATCCAAATCAGCTGTCTCACTTTGAAAATGTGTGGATTGGCTCTATGCTTCATGAAGTCTCTTTATAATTAAGTATCTAAATATATACTCTGGATATATTTATATTCACTCCTCCTATATGATTAATCCATCCTGTCCATCCACATTTTTACATTGGGTTTAACAAATATAGAATTGATGTCTTCCTTCTCTGTCTACATTTTACTTTTTATCTTGCATTTATTTTCTACAACCCATAAATAGATGTGCATTTTGATATGCATCTTATGTTACTGTAAATACATGCACACATATCTAAAGTAGTTTCCACCCTTCATTAGAATGTACATCAATTGTGCTAGAATCCTCAAAATGCAGCCCAGATATGGACAGGCATGGCTCCAAAGTCAGATGCTCCAGATGGTTTTCCTACAGACATGAAACATCAAAGGTAAAGGTTTCCCCTGACATTAAGTCTAGTCATGTCTGACTGTTTGGGGTGGTGCTCATTTCCATTTCTAAGTCAAAGAGCTGGCATTGTCCGTAGACACCTCCAAGGTCATGTGGCCAGCATGACTGCATGGATTGCTGTTACCTTCCCACAGAAGTGGTACCTATAGATCTACTCACATTTGCATGTTTTCAAACTGCTAGGTTGGTAGAAGCTGGGCCTATCGGTGGGAGCTCACCCTGCTCCTTAGATTGAAATTGGTGACTTTTCGGTCAGCAAGTTCAGCAGCTCAGCAGTTTAACCCACTGCGCCACCAGGGGGCCACGATATGAACTATACTGAGAGATATTGGTTCCCAGACTTTCTGTTTGTAACAGGATATTGTTCAGTCTTTTCCAATTTATTGTTATGAAACCTTTTTCTGTTATTCTAAAACCAGAAAAGATCATGCTATGTGTGCAAATTATGGACTGATCTCATTATTAAACATTGATGTCAAAATACTGGCTGCAATATTTGCTTATAAGCTTCAAATTGTAATAATATTAATTAGCACTGGCCAGGTTTTATTCATCATAGGCAGGGGGCTCTTCATTTAAGATTACCGGTAGCTACAAATTTGATTGCTCTAAATACTGAAAGTGTTAATGTTATTATTTAACTTAATACAGAGAAAGCATTTGACATAAATTAACCAAAGTTTATTTTGGTGACTCATTTAGTTTTCTATTGGATTTTTTTGAAATGCAGTTCGATTTTTTTTTACTTCTCTCCTTTAAATGGGATGCTCTCCTTTGTTTAATATAAAGAGGGTTACACAACAGGGATGACCTCTCTTTTTCAGTGTTGAAACCTATGTTTGGAAACATTACCATGAAGAATTAAACAAAATCTAGCAATTTCTGGGTTTATACATGGCCAATATCAATGTATATACTAATGCATATATAACTGATTTATATTCATAAATGCCCACCAATGGCACAATCATACTGTGGTGGTGGGATTATATGCTCCTGCAAGACAAGGGATAGCAGCTATGATGCTAGTAGTGTCTCCCATATCAGACAGGCTTTTAGTGAAGGTACAGATTAACGATGGTCCTAAGTGTGCCGAACAGCTACTGGGCAGCAGCAGTGTTGGGGTGGGTGGGATTTGACAGTGATGGAAAAGCTCTCAAAGACAATAGTAAAGGTAAAGTTTTTCCCTTGACATTTAATCTAATCATGCCCAACTCTGGGGGTGGTGCTCATCTCCATTTCTAAGCCGAAGACCTGGCGTTGTCTGTAGATGCCTTCTAGGCCATGTGGCTGGCATGACTGCATGGAGCGCCATTACCTTCCCATCAAGGCAGTACTGATTAATCTACTCACATTTGCATGTTTTTGAACTGCTAGGTTGGCAGGAGCTGGGGCTAACAATTGGAGCTCACCCCATCACGTGGATTCGAACTGCCAACCTTCTGGTCAGCAAGTTCTGCAATTTAGCGGTTTAACCTGCTGAACACCATGGCTCCTTTCAGAGACAATAGGGCATCATAATTAACACTTGTCAGTGCTGTGCTGAAGGAGGCACAGCAAACCTCTTTTGAACGTCTTTTACCATGAAACCCTTACGTTATGTTGAGACAACCCAAAATGAAACAAGGAGATGGTGGCAGAAGATGAGACTCCCCAGGCTAGTTGGCACTCACTGAGCTACTTGGAGGACAACTATAAATACTATAGTGTTGTAGCTAATGATGCAACTGAACTCAATATAAAAGAATGCTTCGCTCTTGATGTGCTCAAAGATGCAAGGTAAGTCTGAAGGTGCACCACACATGTTATAGGAACATGGAATGTAAGAATCATGAGTCAAGGAAGTTAAACACAGTAAAACAAGAATGGGAATGTATAAACATTGCAATACTTGGGATGAGTGAGCTAAAATGGACAGAAATGAGAAATTAAGAATTAGGACATTAAGATCATCCGGGGAGGCCCTGCTCTCGATCCCGCCAGCCTCACAAGCTCGGCTGGCGGGGACGAGAGACAGGGCCTTCTCAGTGGTGGCCCCCCGGCTGTGGAACGCCCTTCCCGCAGACATTAGATCGGCCCCCTCCCTGCTGGCGTTCAGGAGAAGAGTGAAGACCTGGCTCTTTGAACAGGCGTTTAATTAAGCAGTGCAATCAATTGATCGAATTTGGAACTTGGAATAATGGACGAGGAGATCGGATTATGACTTTACTGATGAGACGTGTTGGATTAGTTATATGGATGTATTGATGTTATTTTGATGTACCGATGTATTGTTAGATTGATTTAGTTGCTTTAGTCACTATTTTAAATGTTAATGCTAATGTTGTGCACTTTGTATATTGACCTGGTTGTAAACCGCACTGAGTCGCCTACGGGCTGAGAGAGTGCGGTATACAAATAAAGTAAATAAATAAATAAATAAATAAATAAATTTTCAGCCAGATAATTGCACAGTGTTTTATTCAGGAAATGAACATGCAAGTAGGAATGGGGTTGGCATTAATAGTGAGGAGAGATGTAGTAAAAGCAGTCAAAGGATATGATGCAAAGCCTGACTAATATAAATAAGAATTCAGGGAAAACCCATCAATATGACCATAATCCAAGTTTCAATGCCAACTACAGAGGTAGAAGAAGAAACCTAAAGATTCTGTGCTGGAGTTCAGAAGGAATTTGATCACCTACTAGAATAGGACTTCTTATTAATCATAGGCAATTGGACTGCAAAAATAGAAAAAAGAGCAGAATCAAAGAAAATAAGGCATTGGATACAGATATTAAGCAGGAGAGTGACTGATTTAATTTTGTGAGGTCAACAGTTTGTTCATTGTAAACAAATTTGTGAATCAGTCAGAGTGAACTGTATACTATACACAGACATCACTTGACTACTAAAATAGAAATCAGACCAAATCACACATATAACCTTTATTGGCATTTAACAGCCAAATCACAGCACACACATATATAACAAGAGGAAGTCACAGATAAGAAGGAAAACATACTTAAAAGTTACTAATCTCAAGAATAAAATTTGCAACAGTCTCACAAAAGATTAAATCAGTGGAATTAGAAGATGAAGACACTCCATTTTCTCTGCAAAACCACAGCCAGGCACAATGAGCCACTAAAAATAAAAACTAGAGTGAAGCTAAAGAAGAAAAGTAAATTAGCTATCATGCCAAAACAGAAACTTAAGAAAATCCCTATAAAATTTAATAATAATAATGCAATAAATACAGTAAATATAGTAAATAAATAGTGAACTGCTTTGCTTTAGGTATTAAACATTAATGTGGTTTTATTATTAGTTGCAAGCAACAAATCTTAGCAACTTAAGTCAGTGACACCGCACAGTAATATCTCTCTACCTGATGAAGGTTTGTCACATTTTAGTATTGATGAACCATGTGGACCTATACCAGTTAGCCTGGTTTTTCATGTTTGCTGGGTGGGATGGGTGTAAGAATAGGTAGCCAGACAACCGTATGTCTCAGTTGGCTCAGCTGAACTTACCAGTTTGACAATGACTGTTTTTAAATAGCTTGGCACTCTATCAACTATGTAACAGGAAAACTCTAAGTTTATGAATGCTTCAATGGAATTTCACTCTGCATGCTCCTCCTCCCTCATCCACCTCACCCTGCTTTGCCTTTCTCCTCCCACCTGGAGGCATACTTTTGTGTATACACACCTGCATCAACTTTTTGTCTGCTTCAAAGGCAGCCTGCAGGAGAACCGCAAAAAATACACAGGAGGGATTCATTCTTTGCCTCTTTTCAGCCATGGCGGCAAAGAGCCCTCACTGGCACAGCTACCTTAAGGTGATCCTGTCCCGTGAAAATCAGAGAGTGGAGCATTTCCAGAAGGCAGAAAACACTTTGTTGGTTGTCTTGGAAAGAGTCAATGCAATGGACCCCAGGTTTACAGTGGAGTATTCAAGAAACCTGGAAGCTTTAGAGTTTGCCTTGTGTGCTGCGGAGGATGAAGTAACCATGCAGGTTCCCTTGTGTATTGATGCTGATGCTATCTTGATTGAGGAGAGTTCAGGGGAGCAGAATGGCTCTGAGACTGTTAACCATGGGAACTGCCAAATGCCAGGGACTTGCTGTATCAGAGTAGCCAAGGATGGCTCTCACCTAAAAAACTGGACCCAAGAAGATGTATTCAGTGTGGCAGAGACCGATGAATCCAGTGGTCACATTGTGCCAGGCAAGGTCCTTTGTCTCCTGAAAGAACTGCTCGTTGCTGCAATTGTTCACTGCAAGCATCACTCCCTCATCAGACCAGGTACTGCCTGAGAGAGGAACAGGGGAGGGGAGAGAAGCTGCAATCCCAGGCACATATAAAGTGGATTAATAGTAGAATTGAAATTAGGAAACCTAAAGGATGGGAGGAATGAGGAAGATTAAGTCTTCGTATGGGTAATAATCACTGACAATATGATGTTTGGGTTCAGACGTACTTTTTTTTCACACACTTATGACATTTAAATTTTTTATACCTGTTCGTTTTGTGTCTGTGTCTTTCACATACAAATTACCCTTTCTCCTCTGGAAAGCAGAGAAAGCTATGGTGAAAAAAAACTTTCTGTGCAAAGTGTCCATTAATAACACTTTAGTGCTTATTCAGTACTACTATAACAGTGCAGTATTTTGTCTAATATGTTAAATGGGGTAAAGGAAACAGTTATACCATGGGGATGCATCTAAAGAGTTTTGTTGTTATGTGCATTAAGCCATTCTAACTTATGGTGACTTTTAGGTGAACCTATCACAGTGCTTCATTGGGAAGATTTATTCATTTGGGGTTTGTCTTTCTCTTCTTCTGTGGCTGAGGGTGTCTTGCCTAAGGTCATGTAGTGTGCTCCCATGGCCAAGCAGGAGTTCAAAGCCTAATCTCCACAATTGTAGTTCAACACTCAAACCACTACATCATGCTGGATTTCAGCTAAGATACTAATACTAATAAAAGTAATTCATCTACAACAATTTGGCTAGATACCATAAGTAGTTTAATTAAGCCCCCCTGGCAGCGCAGTGGGTTAAACCGTGGAGCTGCTGAACTTGCTGACTGAAAGATTGACAGTTCAAATCCGGGGAGCGGGGTGAGCTCTCGTCCCCTGGGCAACGTCCTTGCAGACGGCCAATTCTCTCACACCAGAAGCGACTTGCAGTTTCTCAAGTTGCTCCTGACACGACAAAAAAAGCCCCAGCTTCTGCCAAACTAGCAGTTTGAAAACATGCAAATGTGAGCAGATCAATAGGTACCACTTCTGCGGGAAGGTAACAGCACTCCAAACAGTCATGCTGTCTACATGATCTTGAAGGTGTCTATGGACAATGTCGGCTCTTTGGCTTAGAAATTGAGATGAGCACCACTCCCAGAGTCGGACACATCTAAACTTAATGTCAGGGTATGCCTTTACCTTTACCTTAAGTAGTTAAATTAGAGCACAATGCCCAAAGTGAAGTTTAGTACAAAGATATGAAAACAAATAGTGTTTCTTTTTTGGCATTCACTGCTTTTAAGAAAATATAGGTTGTTGAGCACTCATATCAAGGAATCCACAACACTACTTTTCTTTTCAAAAAAAGATTTACCAATTTGTTCAAGTCTAAGGTGAAAAAGTGTTTTGTGTGGTGAACAGCTGCCCACGGCACAAAACCAACAAGTCTCTGATGTGAATAAAATATCTTATTTCCCCAGTTCAGATTATTTGTGTACTTAACAAGGATGGTTTTTTTTAACAGTAGAAATATGCCCTTAAGGGAAAACCTGAGGACAAGCAAGAAACACATTCTGATTTAGTTCAATATAATAAACAGCATTAAAATATCTCCAGGGGAGATTGAAACAATTTGGCTGAAGCCTTACTGGGAACAATTTAGATGATACATGATTACAAGCCAGTTAGAGACAATGTGACTACGTGGTTGAACCGCAGAACTAACTGCAGTTATAAAGTCTTGAAGATAACTTGAGATTTCTGCTTGATCGGTTCCAGTCAGTGAACATGTACATACTCATGGGTCCCATTGAGCTGGGGAAATTATTGAAAGGCCACACCATTTGAATTTCAAATTATATCAACAATAGCAGAACAACTGTCATCCATAGTGCTGACAAACTGAAAGAATATAACTTTTCATTCAGTATACAGTTTTTCTACAAAACGTATCACTTTGAATGTGAAATGGACCTTGTTTTTTTAAATCTCTTGTTTTTAGCTGCTTAGTTTCCTGATGCAGTTCCTACAGTTTCTATTTTAAAGTTGCTTTTGGCATTTCTTTTTTCTACCCCAAGGAAGGGTGCGGACTCACCATAATTGCAAGTGAAAAACAAGCATACCTGTATGTTGAGCATTATTTTAATATGTGCTTAACAGACACATTTGCTTATCTTTAACTTGTAGTTTTGGGGGCTCCACACCCTTCCTTGAAGAAGAATGAGAAATTCCCAAAAACAACTCTTTACTGTAGTTGCAGATATCCGGGCTTTCATCACTGAGTAATTTGAACTTCATGTAAAATACCTTCCTGCTGTGAGATTTTGTGCTTTGCTGGCAATAGTACAAATGTGTATGTGTGAAATGTATTATGTAATACTTTATGTTAATATATTGTCAAAGCCTTTCACATGGCTAGAATCGCTGGGTTGCTGTGAGTTTTTCAGGCTGTATGGCCATGTTACAGTAGCATTCTCTCCTAGGGAAGAATGCTGCTGGAACATGGCCATACAGCCCAAAAAACTCACAGCAACCCTATGTTAATATAGTCCCATAAAAGGAATGTCTCAAACCACATGAAAGGCATGAAATGCATGCAAAAACTGATAAGAGCAGTATTTTCTCAGAAAATATTTTTATTTTTTTTAAAAAAGTACAATAAAACAACAAAACAGAAAAGAAAAAAGAATGGACAGAGAAAAGAAGAAGAAAAAGGGAAAAATACTTGTGATTTGGATATCACATTTGATTTGGATATCTTGAAGCAACAGTAGTTTGGCTTGGCAATACATATTTGGTAGCTCATCAAGAAACCATACTTTCTGATAAATGCATACATAGAACCGAAATTTAGGGGGAAAGCAATTCTATATTTACACCCTGAGGGGTAACATTGTTCAAAGATTCTATCCTCACCCCCCCCCCCCCCCCCCCCAAATTAAAAAGCATTCGAAGCACTGACCAATTTACTGGTGGCAGATGGGCCATTTAGGCTTTGCCTAGAGGGCACAGCTTTGCATAAAAGTATGTATGCTAATTTGTTGGCAATCAGAATGTATACAATCACTAATTTATATAGTGAGTTGTTGTGAGTTTTCCAAGCCGTATGGCCGTGTTCCAGTAATACTCTCTCCTTTTTAAATTTTTAATTTTTAAATTTTATTGTTTTAGTAGCATTTTCTCCTGATGTTTCACCTGCATCTGTGGCTGGCATCTTCAGAGGTTTGTTCAGAGGTCTGACATACTAATTTATATAGTTAATTTGTAAGGAAGACTGTATGAGTGCTGGTCCAATGCTATTAACAGAAATACTCAAAGGCCTTGGTGTTAGGGTTCATTATACAATGAAAGCTCAACTTAAGAACATCCCAACTTAAGAGAGCTAGCATTGCTTGGCCTGGGTTTCACTTTGACTTACAAGCAGTGTTTTGAGTTAAGATCTAGTGCCAGAGGGAGTATGAGAGTATAGAGCTTTAGGGTTTCAAGGGAGCAGCCTCCCTGCCTCGTGCCTCTGTGTCTTGTGTTCCTGTCTGCTTTGAGAGTTTTCTGTCTGTTTTGCTCTTGTCTACTTAGGAAGATTGCTGTCTGCTTAGCTCTTGTCCGCTTTGAGGAACTTTGGGTTAGTTGATTTTGCGTGGTTTTTATTCTTGGTATGTTTGGCTTCATGAAGAGAGAGAGGGAGATAGAGCAAGAGCGGGAGGGAAGGAGGAATGGTGAAGAGTGTGAGATCTGTTCTTTCATTTCTGGGTAGATACTACCATCAGGATGGGGTGTAATCTTCTGTCAAAAAGGCTTAGTCATTCCTATTCATGGAATACCGCTTACGTTATTTATAGAATTAAGCTGGACGTTTATAAACTTCTGTTACAGTGAGAAGAATCGGTGCAATCTAGTCAATGCAGTAATAAGTTTGCTCTGAGTTTTGGTCAAAAATTTCAATGGTGCTATCCAAGGTGCTGGATGCCTAATGAAATACTATAAGGTGACATCAATTTTGTCCTCTCCACTTTCCAGAGTGATTCCTTGTCTGTAGGCTTTAGAATTCTTTGGATGGGAGCACGCTGAAGATTTATGTCTCTTTGTTATATTTAATGTATTGGAAATATACAAGGACATGGCTGGGACAAGCAGGTACTCTTAGAAAGCAAATCAGATCCACTAACTCTGCATTGTATTTTGCAACAGGCAAACTGTTATGTCTTCCCCATAAGTCTTTAGCCCTATTTTAGTTAGAAATTCCTTTCTCTACTTGCTCCCAAATTAAAATTCCAAACTGGCTTCAATCTGGTTATTTTCTCTTTCCTGTAGCTTTAGGGGTGTCACTTTCTAAAGAGTGTCTACTGGGCCATAATGAGAGGCATCCCACAATCATTATGAAAGAGATCATAAAGGTTCTTCTGTGGTTAATGTCCCTGATCACTCCTACAAAGTGCTAATCATAGCCAAACTAACAATACATTATTACACCAGTTAGTAGCCTATGTTTAGAAACAAACAGCAAGCTGTTGTTACTATGCTAGATTTTGTCCTGTTGAGACAGCTTTATTTGTTCAAAGACAGCCCCGAGCTTGGTTGCTGTCAGCTTTAAGTAAAGTAGATTTTCATCCTGATTTGTGTTTCATTTCCCACTTCTTCTGTGGTTCAGTTACACCCCATGGCAATGTTATCTCATTGCATCACTCCAGGTCTCTGTATCAAACTGGGAAATAATCCAAGGAAGTAATTCCAAAAAGCGAACTAGGGCTGAACAGGGCTGCCAGGTCTTAAGGCATTGCTCCAAGTGTCATGATTCCTTGCTTCATGATCCTTCCGGTCTGGTTGTTTGACAGGAGGAAAGAAGAAGGAGAACATATATGTTCAATTATGGCGTCAACATATGGTGTTGTAGGACTTTGCAGGAAAAAAAATCCAACGCAATTCAACCAGAGAAATCAACCATAGCAGAGCACTTGATGAACTAACCTGGACATCGCCTATTATTTGAAAACACAGAAATGCTGGGCCACTCTAACAACTACCATGTCAGACTACACAGAGAAACCATTGAAATCCACAAGCATGT